CCGTTACTACGTGGTAGGAGATGATAATGAAAATTTCTATGTTTTTTACCACCCTCACCAGTTTATTGTATAAGTTTGAGAATGTCCATATAGGACGAAACTGCAGTAACGTTAGTTTCAAATAAAAATGGTAAAAAACAGAAATTTTCATTTTTCTTTTCTCATAAAAGACTTTTTTTCATTAATCATATCACTATTTTATTTAAAACTAAAAAGGATCTGTTAAAATACGAATGAAATAGACACCCTTGATATTTTTCTCTTTCAATGTATTTCATTCACAATCATTTCACGATCAAAAAAAAATATTTCAGATATTAGGAAGATAAAGATTTTAGAGATACCAGTTTAAAATACTCTCTAAGAAACTACCATCTCATATCAATTAGATACAGGAATAAAATACTTTGTCTAATTTACACTTACACTTACTTGATATTAATACGATCAAGGTTTCGGTTTTTACACCATTCTCAAGTGTTCTAGCACTACTGACCTACATAGAAATATCGGAGTATTTATATCCAAGAGTAGGTAATAAGAAATATACCTACATTCATTATTAGGTTTGTTCTAGCAGCGATTTCAAACGATACGGAATCGTACGAAGCATGCGCATACGAATATAGGCGTTCTAGCAAAGCAAATCCAGGATTCGAACTAATAGTCGCATGTTCTAGCGAAGACGAAATCCAGTTTGCAAACCGTATGAGAACTGTCGAAGTAGTCCAGAGGAATTCGTAAGGATTTTCAGTTTGTGACATGCGCAAATATTCGGAGTGATCGAGTGATCCGATATCACGTTTGTTATGATTTTGGAATATGGATTTGTTGGTTATGTTATGTACTAAAGAAATGAGAAACCAAAATAGAAATATTTAGTNTGATTTTGCCTAAATTATTATTACTTATGAAAGATGTTATTATGTTGATTACCTGAGTAATTAATGGTGCAATATCTGTATGTATTCTGTTCTTTGATGTGTGGGTACAGTTCTCCCATAATAGTTCTATGGGTTTTATCTGCAATAATCTTTTCAATTGAGGACACAGGTACCTGATTATTGACCGCTATTTGTTTGATGACTTTCAATTCATTCTGAAAATTCTCTTCAGGTAAAGGGATTGTGAATGCTCTGTATATCATGCTGCTAATTTATGTGAGGTTGGACTGAAAGAGTCGAAGGGGATCGTACAATCTGTGAATGTATTCTTTCGAACACATCGGTGTTCACTCCATGAACACATCGGTGTAGACAAACAATCTTCTTTGTACTAACATCTACAAGAAACCAACCACAAAATAAGTAAGCAAAACCTCAAAATCTTACATACATGTAGTAAAGGAAGGAAAATGAATATGTTGGAAGCCATGGAAATCAATGAATCAATTAAAAATTCAAAATATAAAACCCTTAAGGAACAAACAGATTTGTGTAGGTCTCCACTTTTGAATTTATAAAGATGACAACGCAATTAATCACAGTTTGAAGTTTATGTAGTTGGTATTAATGAATGTAGGTATATTTCTTATTACCTACTCTCGGATATATATACTCCGATATTTCTATGTAGGTCAGTAGTGCTAGAACACTTAAGAATGGTGTTAAAACCGAAACCTTGGTCGTATTAATATCAATACATTAAGTAAGTGGAAATTAGACAAATTATTTTATTCCTATATCTAATTGAAGATGAATTTCCACAAAATACATAAGTCATCAATATCACAAACCATCTTATATATTAAAAACAAATGATTTTTTTGTAACTCACCAAAAAAGGCTATATAAAACATGAAGTCGGTTCCTAGTAGAGATGTATCCACCTCTTCATTTATATCGGCATCAATTGTTATAATTCTTTGCCCTGGTTGACGAAAGGGTAATGCCTAAAAAAGCCATAAGGCACATTTGTTATGTTTGCTCACTGAAAAAATATCCTGTAGTGTGAACCCCACCCAAAAGCAAGGAACAAATAGCAGAAAATAGATGTAGGAGTCATGAACAAGTTATTTGAAATAAGCATGGTAAGACTTAGGAAAAGATATATCTTTCAACGTACTAGGAATTGGACGTTAAAAGATAAGACCTCGTTAATCCATAGCTCGCACAAGTTTCGACTAAATCCTACTGCTCTTGTTAGTTTGTGATATTTTGAAACACTACCCAGTGTTGATATGTTTTAGAATATTTTTATTTGTTTAGCATATTACCGATTACAGTAGGAACATCAAAAAAGAAAATGTAAATAATGATATCGAAACTATACTATACATCATAGGAAAAAAAACAGAAATGGAAAAGTACAAGACAAGTTCAACTATTCGGATAACTATTTGACATCAATTTGGGAGTTCTAAATTGTTATCCATTTTATCTGAATGTTCAGTAATTATCCTTCTCTGAACCAGATTCTGAACTGATCTTGGCATTGTTCAGTTGTCAGAAAGGGTAGAAAGTGATATATGAAACTGGGAAAAAATAGAGTCCACTTGGAGTCCACGTAGGTATGTAGGGAGTCAATTTTTTATGCATTTTATCAATAGAAGTTGCACGTAAAAGATGTAGAGCTTTAGTTATTAGTTATAACCCAAGTATTTCTGATTAAAGTCCAAATGCACGCCACTGTAAGTGATAAAATGACCCTGAAAGCTTTTGTTTTTGACTCGTTTGGGATACAAAAATAGGGTAGACCCGGTAAAGTATTATAAACCCCTCTATGCCAGCTGTGGCAAATCATAATGAAATCACAAAACTTTGTTTCTAGCACTCTGTTAGCTTTTTTCATTTACAATGATATGAAATCGAAAAGGTATCAATAGGTGAAAAAAATTCTAATATTTCATCATACAAATTATTTTGAGATGAACCGTAACTTCTATGATATAAACTTAATGGAGAGGTAATTTTCAGGATAAACCTATATCTGCTATCTGGAGTATTTTATTGTATGAGTAATTGTACTTACTCTCGTACTTGGAGAATTTATTGGAATAGGAATATCCTGTCCCTCTAAATTCTTTTCTCTTTGCACTTCTTCATATGTTGGCAACTTTGTCTCTTTAGTAGCCACCTCATATGGCGGTGGGGCATAATAATCAACCTTTGGGGGCGGAATGTCTTCGGAGGACGAAGTAGTAGCAAGAGATTGGGGACTGGGCAGATTATTGTCAACAGCTATGTCTTGCAAGGTCTGGAATATAGAAAGTTTTATTCGATGATTCCAATGAAGAACGTCAACTATTTATTCACCGTTTCTTCACGATTGCAAATATTGGGCGGAGTAATTGCCATTTTAGATTCTCACACTTTGTATTGCACATTCAATGGAAAGTCAACCTTGCATCCATCTTTAATCGCAAATTATATTTTCTATTGGATGAAAGGTGTATATAATGAATATCAATATTATCAATACATTACATATGTGTCAAATTTATAGAATACTGTCAAAAAACTACTATTGAAACCTTTGAAAGGACGACCAAATTGTCAATTCTCTGTGCTAAAATACTCAACCTGGAACAGTGAGTTGTGACGTCACATAAAGTGCGCTTGCATAAAGAAGCACTGCCCTTCAGTGTAAAGAAGTCGTTTTGAAAGGTTGTGAATAACTACAGAAGCGAAAAAACACAGAATCTGTGGCAGAAAGCGTAGAAGGCCACATATTTTTATTACTTGTTCCTTTCGAATTTCTTAAAACTCGAAATTTCTACTATAATCTCAATATTACGACTTTAAACTCGAAATTACGACTTTAATCTCGAAATTTAGACATTAAACTCGAAATTTCGACTTTTAACCCAAAATTACGAGTGTTCAAAGTTGTTATTTCAAATTTGAAGTCAAAATTTCTAGACTAAAGTCGAAATTTTGAGATTAAAAGTCGTATNCACACAAATACGTAATCATACGCATAGATTTTCGACCACTCATCATTGACATTTTGGAATTACTTAACATAATGCACGAACAACAAAATATTTATTGGACCGAACAACAAATACCATATTTAATAGAAGCATATAAAAAATGTTTTAATTTTGAAAATATTGTATATGAAAATGAGGAAATATCGAGTTTTAGTTTCGAATATGACACATACATTCAAGAAATTGAAATAATAGAGTCAAAGTTTAAAAAAACTGATACCGGAAATAATAACAACTTTAGATTATTCGTTGAGAAATTTAACGAAGAATACTCATTTGTATTTACAGATGCATCTAAACAGAATAACAAAGTGGGAATAGGTATTAACATTCCTGGGATTGATATTATGCTTTTTCAGCTAGACTGAATGAGCATATAAGTATATGTGACGCGGAAATTATAGCAATACATGAAAGTATTGGGGTATGTATGCAAAAAAACAAAAAAATATATAGTACCCACAGATTCTAAAAGTGCAATAGAAATAATACAAAATGCGGGTAACTCAATAAATTGCGATCACATTACATTAAATATCAAAGGCAGAATAAGACTAGCCTTACAAAATAACATTACTTTAAAAATGACTTGGATACCCAGACATCAACAGATCGAAGGTAATTAGAAAGCGGATACTCTTGCAAAAATTGGTACATCTCTAAATATTCCACAGGATATTAAGGTTGATAAAAAGAATTTCATCCCAAATAAAAAAAAAACAATTAATTCGAAATTTTATGCACAATGGAAAAATGAGATACACCACATTCACATGATGATACCAATCACAGCGAAGCATTGACGTATACCTATGATTGTCTTTCTTTGTTCTATGATAAATTTGACGATCGTAATAAAAAACATGTCAAATGTCATTGCATCCAAATTTGGGATCGATGTGTTTTCAAACCATTCCTCGAAAATATCAGCTTCCATGTTCTTATGATAGTCAACATTGCAGTCCTCAATTTTTTTTCATATCCTTTACTTCCTCCGCAAAGCACAATGATTAGTCGCGATCCTTTGTTTGCAGGTTTGTTTGGCGTACACATTCTCGAATCATCAGTCCACCTTTTCGTAACTGTGTCGTTAGTGTCATACCAAGTTTCGTCCAAATAGAAAATTTGCCCTTGTTCTTGTCTATATTTAGTTATTTGTTCTGAGTATTTGTTACGCAATTCTACTATTCTTCTGCTTTCCATAACTGCTTGGCCTGTTTTAATTATTTCAAATTTAAATCCTAGTTTCTTTATCCAATTCTGAAGAGTTTTGTCACAGCAGCTCACGTTATGGCCGGAAGTATTCAATTTATTCCTTATGATTTCAATCTAGGAATCTCATTGACTTTGTAACAGTCGTATATTGTTTTTTCAATGATTTTATTAGATGAAGATCTAAAGGTTTTGGTAATCCTGTATCACATCGTGTCTTGCGTCCATAAGGTTTGTTTTTGACTATTTCACGTACAGTTGAGAAAGGAATTTCGGTCAAATCTGATGTTGCTTGTATTAGTTTGTTTCCCTCGAAACTAAACTTGAGATGTAGATTCTTATATACATTGTGTTTATACATTGTGTGTATACTCTGTCTTTCAATATTCAAATGCATCCGAATTTTATTCCCTGGTATGTATCTCTTTTTCGCATTGTTCACCATCACTATTGGAATCACTACACTGGAAAAAGTCTGCGTTGTTATCACACTCGTTAATACTATTAGTACTTGTCCAAAGACGCCACATTCTAAATAAATAACAAAAATTTAAAGTAAATATAAGTGCACCAATGTCGAATTTCAACACTCAAATCACGGTCAGTTCCTGAACTGAACACGACGGCGATAACCAAAGGCCGCATTCCATGATTTCTATTCATCACCGTAACATGACTTCAATTTTAATTTTAATTCAATTTTATGACTCTTCAGCCAATCACAAAACTCGGCTAGTAAAAATTATCCAATACGAAACGCCAAGTGTACAGTCCACACATAGAAATGCTGCCGGTTCATTTCTATGAGTTGGTTTTTATGACCTTTGAGGGTGCCGACAACTTTAATAGTATACAATATCGGTTACTTCGACTAAACATATAACTACATTTACATCACAGACTGAGATTGCACATAATATAAACATTTCCACATTTACGTTCTCAACTTTAACTAAAAATGTCGAATGTCATGCTACAAACATCAAATAACATTTCACACACACAGAGCATGATCACGGCGCTCGGTATCATTGGAAGAGCAGAAGAGCATTGTAGTGTAACTCAGTACTCAGTTACAGAATATCGGAACTATCGGCACAGTATTTTGTACTGTGCTATCGGTGTAAGACATAGACATAACCTTAATATATCAGTGGTGTAAGAGCCTTACAGTAAGACACAACCCAAGGAACTGCCGCCAGCGGCGCCAGACATTCTGTCTACGCCAGCGTTGCCAAGGGTACTCGGCTCGTGTAACGCGGTAGATTCAAAAGCAAACCTAAATATTTGTTCATTTTTTCAATTTTTATTTTACATTATTTTGCTTTATATCTGAGCGGGGTAGATTTACTTGAGGGGAGCGAGAGGTTGAAATTGAGTTCAAGAGGGGTAGAACTACCCCGTACGGGGTAACTGTGGCAACAGTGCCTCGCGCCAAAAGTGAATCCTAACCTAACTAATATGGTCTATTATTGTCGATAAGAAAATGTGGAATGGTAGTTTTAGATAATGCTATTCTCGAAATGAATTTAGTGAAAGTTGAGACATTTGGTGACTGTGAAATGTTAGGAACTGGTTCCATTTCTGACGTCAACTCTACCGATTTAATTGATGATTCAAAAGGCAGTAGTGAACAGATAGAAATAAAAACTAATGAGGAAATCGACATTGTCTATGAAAATCTTAAAACTGAAATTGAGTTTGAGAGTAAAGCAAACATATGCAGCCAATGTTTAAGGAGCGGAAACTGTTTCTGCCGTCCAAATGTCCCAGATTTCTTCAGCCCTGAAAGTGTTAAGATAGAATGCTGCACTCCACAGATATGTGATATGCAAGGTGAAGATATGACTCGGGATGTGAAGCTACTTCTGCCAGATTCTACTACAGGTAATGTATACATGATCGGTCGGTAGCCAAGCGGTTCGGCGTGGTTGCTTTGTTCACTCACTCGAATTATCTGCCGTGTTGGTTGGTGGTTCAAGCCCTAGTCTGAACGATCGATCTTCACTTGCTATCGTCCAACCCGTGTTAGGAATCACACGTTAAAAGGTAAGACCTCGTTAATCCTTAGCTCGCACAAGTTTCGACTTCTGAGGGTTGTCGTTCGTAGGGNATACTGAAGAGAAACCATTTCAGTGTAAAATCTGCTCAAAATCTTTCTCCCAAAGTAGTGGTTTAACAGTTCACAAAAAAATTCATGATAAAAAGCCATTTCAGTGTAAAATCTGTTCAGAGTCTTTCAGTGGAAGTGATACTTTCGAAGACCACAAAAAGATTCATACTGGAGAAAATCTATTTCAGTGTAAAATCTGCTTGAAATCATTCAATCGATGTAAATATTTGAAAAGTCATGAGAAATATCACTCTGAAGTGCGCCCATTTCAGTGTAAAATTTGTTTAAAATCCTTCGTTCGAAGATGTGATTTGAAAATTCACTTGAATGTTCACACTGGAGGAAAACCATTTCAATGCAAAATCTGTTCAAAATCTTTCACTTGGAGATCGACTTTTAAAATTCATGAAAGGAGGCATTCTAGAGAAAAATCATTTCAGTGTAAAATCTGTACAAAATCTTTCGCTCGTAGTTGTGAATTAAAAACCCATGAAAAATTTCATACCATAGAGAAATTATAAATTTTGTAATAGAATTTAAACAGATAATATTCAGGGGAACAGTAAACTACGTAATATCTGGAAGAGTATATAAAGTTTTTACATATTTCTGAAAGAGGTTTCACTTAATCCCTTGCAATAACTTTACAACTTTGAATTGTAAGGGTATATTTTTAGGAGAGAATAACTTTTTTTTGGAAAGAAAGGTTTTGGCCTTCTTCTCCATCTTGATACAAAAAAAATGTGAAAATCTTCCAAAGAAAGGAAGTAATCAATCACAAAAATTAACTCTATACAAAGATGTGTCGATCATGCAACGAAGTAACTTTCAGTCACAAACTGAAAGAGAAAGCCCTCTCGAAACATCTATTTTCATATTAACATTAAGAAAAGTACTTTTGAAACAAAAGCTTCTATTTGTGAAAGTTAAATTTAATTTTTTTCATTTATTATATCCTGTGAATGATATCTGATTCGATTCTATTATAAATGTTTGGAATACGAACGTAATAGAGAAACGTGTTTTTCGTATAATTCAGCGTTTATATAGAAGTATTTGTTTCAAAGGTATTTTTTTTTCGTGTAATTCATTGTTTATATGAAAATATCTGTTTCAAGAGGGCTCTTTCTTCCAGTTTGTGACTGAAAGTTACTTCTTTGCATGAACTACCCATCTTTGAATAGAGTTAATTTT